CCACCAAAATTTTATTGCAGAGTCTGCGACGAAGGGACTCGAAAAGAAACCGGCCCCTTTGAAGGAGTCGAAATCAGCGAGTGCCCCAGTTACGCAACGTGATATAGAAAAAGGTTCTCCTCTTGAGTAAACAAAATTTGGAATAAGAAATAAATATTAAAAGAAGACTCATGGTTGATGTTAAATGAAATTGTTGGCAAATTTAATGTAGAATCAACGCAGGAAGACGTGATGAAGACGAAAGGCACACGACAACAAATTCGCCCTGATGCTGAAGGGGAACGGGAAACCGTCATCTACGTAGAACCAATCGTTGACGGAGCTGCTCCCACAGCACTAGGATTCAAACGACTCGAGGAAACCGTAAGCAGTGCTCCAATATGAATAAGAATTTAAACATTTTGTTAAGAATATTCATTTCACATCAAAATTGAAATTAATACTTATTGCTAACGTACATGTATAGGTAAACGAACTTCAGCAACGTTTTCAAGCACTGGAGGAATTACCGACGAATCCGGAGCTCATGGAACGCCTTAAAGGCAAAATCACTGATCCTTTAACGGACGTCTGGCAGATCATCAATATCACAAAAAGATTGGACGCTAGTGAGCAAGGTATTGATAAGGTACAGCTTCGTTGCTTCAGTTGTCTTTTAATTCGCCTATATAGAAGCCCTGGCAATAAGTTTTCGATCGGTGATATTAATAGTCGATTAACTAACATCGTATTTTAAAGTCATCAAATATTGGAGGGTTGATAAAGTAAATAACATTACAATAACACAAGCTTTCGTTTATTATAAAAAAGAAAAAAGAGATAAAATGTTTCTTTTTTCAGTTGACAACGATGGTACAAGATGTACTCAAGGGCGATCATGCGATAGAGATGGAGGAACCATCGTATCTCGTGGAGAGACTAGCAAATTTAGAAAATAGCCTTAATACTTTGGACCAGACCGTGAAGAATTTGCAAATAATCGCTAATGTGAGCGACGAAGAGGGAGAAGAAGCTGTCGTTGGCGGAACAACCACGGAAAAGCAGGAAACACAGCTGCCAGCGCAACGAATATCCTTGGGACAGCTTCTTGGAGGAATTGACGTGAAAGAAATGCATCAAGAAGTCCAAGCGTTGCGGCAGGATGTTTCGAAAATGCGAGGCGACTTGAAGAATCTCAAGGACAAAGTGGCTAAGGCACCAGCTGGTAAATCTATCAATCTATCTACCAGTAAATACGCTTGTTAATTGGATAAATTAGTATCGCTCATGAATTTAAAAAAATTCGTAGCAACGTCCCACGTGGAAACCACGCCGTCGCAGTCGCAGACTCCTAAGCAAGATGCTGCAGAAAATAAACAAGAGAAACGTACGGAAGAGAAGAAACAAGAGAAGCATACGGAAGAGAAGAAACAAGAGAAGCATACGGAAGAAAAGAAAGAAATGTCGGAAGCAGCGGCTAAGGAAGTCGTGCAGACCGAAGAAACAACAAAAGCTAAAGTACCAGTGGCGTCTACAAAGCCAATAGAAGAACAGACAAACGTTATTCAATTTGATGACGCGATAGATTCCGAGGTGCTGAATAACATGAACGAACGCATCTCGAAGCTAGAGAAGGATTTGATATGCTTGCGCGAAAAAGTAGACAGTGCGCCAATGGCGGGTGTCACTGGTAGTGCCGAGCTCGACGAATTGGTCGCAACGATTCACGGGGTCCAGACTGACATGGAAAAACTGAACCAAACTGCGGATCGATTGATCGATGATCGAGAAAACCGTGAAGTGCATCTCAACGTGAGTAGTTTCGACGGATGAAAGTATTGCTCTATTTATTGCAATATTTTATAGCTAAAAACTGTTCTAGTTTTGTTTTGTTGAAATATCCTGCGATTAAACGGAAATTATAGATTGAAAGGATCAAAGGATAAAATCACAGGATGAAGGATACAGAATTAAATGATTTTTCCAATTTCAGCTTTGGATTTACTGTTGCGTTTGATCACAGATCGCTTCTCAGCTTTTTTTATGTAAAGTATATGAGTCGTTTTATTTTTTATGCAAACCGGTTTTCAATCACTGTCAATATCTTTGATTGAGGACCTGTAAGTTTTTCTCTGCATCTTCGTTAAGTTTGAATTCATTAGTTGACTACTCCAAATCTACTAGAAAAATCATATTGGGTCACTACAGTTGCTTAAAAATTTAATTTTATCCAGGATCGAAATTAGGTCCTAGCATTCAACTGTTGATCCTTCGTTTTTGTTGCACAGGCATTGTTAGAACAAGTGGAGCTTCTGAAGACCATAAAAGCAGACAGAGAAGATCTCGAAGACGCACTTGCTGATAAAGCAGACGCTCAGGCGATAAATCGAAAGGTTGAAGAATCATCAATTACTATTAACGAATTATACACAAATAAAGAGAATAATTCACGATGAAATGAGCTTTCTCTTTCAGGTTTCGTACGACCAGTTTGACGCGGCTTGCGACGATCTTGCTCAAGGTTTGGAAGACGCCATTGGCAAGTTGGGAAAGCAGGAATCGATTTGGCAGCAAACGCTGGACGAAGTGCAGAAAGAGATCGAGGGAAAAGTCGATAAGATAGAAATGACACCGTTGAAAGACTTCGTCAGCAACCGATTGAAGTCTCTACAGGATAAGCTGAAGAGCGTGGCGGAAATGAGACAGGAGTCCGAAGCTGCTGGAACTAAGAAGATGCTCAGGTGAAGCTAAACTTCACAAACTGCGCAAAATATTGGACTATCGATTACAGTAAATTTTGTTTAAGAGGTACCAGCTGAAATTTGTGCCAAATTGTTCAAGCTTGAGGCTTAAGGTTCATTCTATGAAGCGTGCAGTGCCAAGACGTGGCAAGAATAACCACGTATTTCCCTTAAACAGAGGGAAATCCTTTAATCTTCGTGCCTCTTAGACAGGATTCAGTGTATTCGCTCGACACGATGACGTGACTGGACATATGTTCATCAAGCATTTATGCGAAATTCCATTAGCACTGAATTTGTGTATGTTATCAGAGATGTTCAGTGTATATCATGCGACAAGAACGTCGTCATGAGAATGGAAGATACCAATAAATTCAAATTGGAACCATTACCTTGTACCGTGAGCATGAAACCGTACCTGACCTACGAATTGGATCAAGTTAGGAAGCAACACAAGAAATTGCCTCACAGCAGAAATATGATTCAATTCGAAGCAGCCTTGCAGGAGGAGGCGAAGAAGCAAAAGAGCGCGAGAACTGAGACACTTGTAAAGACTCCGCGGTACGTGAACAGAGAAAGTCTAATATTTACGTCAATATATTTAATTAGTAGTGAATATAAATTTACTCATAAATGGTGAAAAAGATATGAAATATTAACTCGAGGGATGCTATTATTTTTATTTGTGAAATATATTCAGCATAAATTTTAAATATTACCACAACTCGTGAATGCATAAAATCCATTCATGAATAAAGAAAAGGCAATAAATTTTGCAATTTACATCGAGAGTTGTATATTTCGGGATAAGTGATTTTAATGCAAACAAGGGTTCGATTTTCAGAGACCATTTGTGCAATCGATACTGCGGTGGAAGTCACACGGTGACGACTCCTCATCAAAGAGTTACCCGAGTCGGCCATTTTATCACGCAATGGGGACCGGAAATAGTGCAGCTGACCGAAGGAGTGGTGAAAGGAACGGATGGAAAGATGTACAGAAGTCGACCAATGCCGGGCAAATTCGATGTCTGCGGGCCTGCGTATTGCGAAGACCATGGCGAAGAAGCCAAACCCTCGGTTATTGTTCTATTCTCAAAACATGTTACAATTTCAAAAATATAAATTATTATTTCAGGAACGACAACCACCGGCTTCCCCACAACCACGTAAGAGTGTCGAGAGACAACCCTCAATTAGTTCAAGTAAATATTACCTTGTGGACAAACTCCTCGGTGTGCAATCTTATTCCTAATTTAAACTAAAAACATTTTAACGTTGTAATCATCGTTATTCCAGGAAAAAGAAGCTCAAAGAAACTGTTGAAAGAGATAAATAAAGAACAACAGGCAGTAGTGGAAGCAGTAAATAAACAATTTAAGTGTGTACAGCATAAACAAATACTAATTGTGATTTTTTAATTATTATTTCCAGCACATAGAAACGCCTGCTGCGGAAGAAACAGAGGCACCCGATCCGTTACCACACGATCGAAGCTTTCACATGGATCAAATCATTCATTACGAGGAAGAAGAGGAAATGGGCGGTTAATCAAAATTGTCATTGTCTATTACAAGTTTTCTGGAAATATTTTTTGTAGAAATGGTATCAAAGATTGACATATGGACAATTTTATAAGAACGTACACGATGTAATATATAGAAAGTAAATTTTATAATCATTATTTATGATCTGGATAGGCTTTTGTTTAGGATGAATATTTAGGATGGTTCGAGAGAGGGAATTTTATCGGACAAACTGAAAATGTTTAGAGTATTCGAAAGAACGTTTCTTAGCGCATGTGTCGCAATTGTTGTATTTAAAAATATCTTTTAGAAGATATTCGGAGATGATCGAAGAAAAGATACGATGAAAGATTGTGCAAAACTTTTTAAACGAACTGAAAATATTTTAATAATGAAAATTTAGGCTCTTCGAAAGAACGTTTCCTAGTGCATATGTCGCAATTTTTGTACTTAAAAATATCTTTTTCTTTTCGTCCCGTCGTAGATAGATTTCCCCTCTTGAGAATAAAGGGTCGAAGAAACGATACGAGCAAGGATGGTCCAAAACCTACGAACAACGTTCTTGTTTTATTAAATGTTTTATTATTAAGAGGGAGTTTCGGAGTACACAAGACTATCTAGTGAAGTCGATTTGGAACATCGGTGGTCTGTCATGCTAAAACAAAAATACTGGATCGCACCACATATCGCGACCGCACTAGATCGCTCTTCGTTATTGCACATCACACCGTTCGAAATCCGTTTTACATAAAGCGTTCTTTTTTTTTTTTTTGCACGCAACGCTCTCGATTGTTTATGTATATCGGGATACATGCTCGTTTACTCGATTCCTTCCGATCTCACAGTTATACCTTCTATATAAATGACTATGCGCTAGTATTCTGGTAATAATATATATTCATGTATACGTGGTACTGTGTATACGTCGGAGCTAAATGCTACGTCATATAAATTTCAAGGTACAGGAAGTATCTACAAGTCAGTGTCTACCACATAATTTACGACTGCCTCGTTTCGTTTATCCTTTGGTAAATGGCGGTTAATTCTACGTTCGCTAATACCTACAGAAGATTATCATGAATTTACTTCGCTATGATCTTACGGGTTAAATCAACGGTATACACGGGAACCATGACGTAAGATCATTGGCTTTTTTAACGACACAATGCAATAAATAGAATGTCAAATAAATATATATATATATATATGTATTTATATATATAGATTATACTTTTCGTAATCATTCGTTAGGAGGGGGACAATATAATGTCTTAAACGTTAACATGGATATGCATTATCGATTACAGTTAATAATACTGGCAGCTTAAAGTACAACGTGTGTGTGTGTGTGTGTGTAATTTATGTGTAATTTATGTGTGTACGAGTGTGTGTGTATTACGCTCCAACCTAACTGAAAGAGAACGGTAGAAAGTGCCGAATGCAACGTTGAAAATCAGTCGAAAACGATCTAATAAACCAAATAACGACCAGTGGCGTGACCATTAGCAGCTAGAAGAAGTTAATCTTCCCTTCAAAATTTGTATAGTATGAGAAATAAATCAAAGGCAAACTTCAATTTGAAAGAAAAATAGCCAATAAAACTAGCAAAGTAATATTTCTTAGATTAAACGTTCGTATACATTATTTCTAGCGAAGCTATTAAGGGCCTTTCTAACATTTACTATTTATAATAAAGTATATACTTCTAAAAAGAAAGTGTAGAAGGAACGCTCGAAAAATCACTGCTATTATGTTTGTTCTTCTTCTGCTGCAAAGTCGTGCGTTTAGTTACGCCACTGGTAACGACTAGCGTCGCAATTATATCGAATAGTACGGATCTATTGACAGACTAACGTCGATCAAAATTATTCCAGACGCTACTTTGATCTCGCGGCACTCGCTACGCGTTCTAAGGTTCACCTAATCGATGTCGCAAGTAAAATCTTTGGTTACGCGTCGCCAGCGCAGGGCTGACGACTAACAAAATTTCCCTCACAACCGTCGCGAATCGAAATTCTTACCTCGAAATAATTATTGTTACGCCACGGACGTCTCTCGTTGCTGGCTACCCAATGTTAAATAATAGCGACTTAATAATTATCGTTACCGTTCTTACTATATACTATTATTATTGTTATTATTAATATTATTATTATTATTATTATTATTATTATTATTATTATCGTTACCATAATCGTACGTACGAGAATATTGCACACAGCGACCAACAGACACGGATAAAGGGAACTAAGTAACAGATCACAGGTAAACCTAGGCTATCTCTGTAACAAATTGATATCACATGAAAAAATATGTATCGGTTGCCATCTCTCGCAAAAATCTCCCAAAAATAAGAGACTGTCGGACGGATGACTCGGGTGACGAGCCATCGATGATTTGGATTGGCTGACCTAGATCGTTCCTCCTTCGTACTTGTCATCTCACCGGTCAGCCCTGGACGAAAAGACACATTTTTCATTCGTGTCCACTCTCCCCTATCTTTCATCTCCTGCTCGTAGTACAGAGATGGGCAAAAATCTCGTCCAGATGAAACATCTCGAATAACGAATAAAAAATAACACAGAATGCAATCCGATTATACAATCAAATTATGCTTCACGCTTTCATTTCTTTCGTTTCTTATAAAACAATCTTCCTCTTTTCTTTCAACCTCCTTCATTTTTCCCGTGTTCGTTCAATTCTGTAGATAGAAGTTACGCGAAAATTGAACAAAGTTATTACTTAAACTATATCTCAATTATCCGAATAATTGTTTAACCGAACAAACAGAACATTCGACGTGCCCATCTCAGTCTCGGTAGCAACGCGAAGTAACCCGTCGATCAATTTGCTGGTCCGAGCCTAATCGCTTATCAACGACGACAAACAACTTAAACCCTGACTAAATGATTACGATTAGCGGTAAAGTTTGGCATAGTAACCGCGGCTGGGTGCCGCGGCCACTTCGTTCAACGTCTTCGCTCGTTCTTTCCTCGCACGAACGAAAACACGACTTACATACGCTCTTCTTTGGCTTCCAGCTCCGTTAGTAGCCGGCCAGGTTTGGCCAGCTACGTGTGTATCTAAACCTAAGTACGTATTACCTCGCACCTTGTCGGATTACCAGCTTGTACGACAACGACTCTGATCCCATCGATAGTTTCTTACACGGAACTCGCGGCCTCGACAGGCCACAAGCACAAGGAACAACCATTTTGTAAAGCTCTTGGAGTGCTTCGAAAGACGATTCCAAAAGGATTCGGCTCTCGACCACCCGAAACCCTTAAATTCGTCAACCTCTCGCGTTAAAGCGTCTTAGAATCTATCCTTACAAGTTCCTCTTTCAGAGAGTTCCTTTCTCCTCTTTCTTCATACCTTTCCTTTTCTGCTGGCACATCGTTTTCCCGTCTTCTTTCTCAGGGTCGGATTAAGGCGCGAGCTTTACGGGCTACAGCTTAGAGAGTTCTGAATCATATGTACGAGTACTCCATCTATTTAAAAGGGATTTAATTGATCGATGTAATTGATTGTATTTGTACCTGATTTGTATTGACCATAGTAAACATATTGAAGTAAAAAAAGAAAATGTTATACTGTACACATGTGCAAAATGGAGTATTCAACAGGGCACGCCTAAATATCACTGCCATTTAACGTTTTACGGAAAACAAAATCATGCTATTTTAAGGAACACAATTAGTAACAAAAGAAAATTTTCCTCCAAGTTATTTTTTGTGAGCTCCACGAGAAGAATCTTGATTGTAAAATCTCTCAAAAGAAGGAATTGTTTTCATCGTTACATGTTCTCCATAAAATTACGTAACTTTGTTCTGTGGAGTTATTTGATACGGTCATGGTTCACGAAGATATTGAGAAGTTTCCATTGGAATGCCCCATTCTGTGCAGACTCGGAGTGTCTGTAGCCCAAGGGTTCAACGATATCTTAATCCGGCGCTGCTCGCAATTCTACCTTTCGCAAAGGCCATTTCTATCGTCCGAGTGCAAGAGGAATGATATCCTGAATCCACTATGCGAAAATAAAGTACACGCCTCTGGCAGAAAGGTTTACGCAATAGTTACTTTAGGGAAGACGAGACGGATCCATAAACTCATCGTCAAATCCCTGAACGTTCGTCAAAGCATCGTATTCATAACTGAATACTTCGGATCAGAGATGAGCAAAATTTTGTTCGAATAAAAGCGATTTACTCGCCGCGTTCGATTGGACGATTACATTTTCGTTTGTGCATTTCGAAGTGTTCCATTTCATAAGTCGAATATCGATTCTTCTTCGAAGAGTAACGGATAAACGGTTGTTTAACTTTTATTCGTTATCCGAAATCGTTGTTCGGATAAGAATTTTACTCATCTCTGGTTTAGACCAATGCAATCGCTCCCTGCCTGGCTAATAAAGCTCTACTCGACGAACAGTCGTCGACTGTTAAGGGATCGCGTGAACGAACATGATTATTCTCGAGATCGCTCGCTAAGCCTACAAAGAAACTTTTCACTGATTTGTACTGTATTACTTCCGCGAATAGTTCCGATTCCTGACTTGTTTTTCCGCGCTCGCGCAGTTTCTCTCTCCTCGGAAGCTCGGAAAGTTCATCGTAAACAGTCTCGTGAAACGTGAGACAAAAATGGAAATATTACGAAAGTATCGTGTCCGACAGAAAGTCCTGTCGTTTTGTCTTTTGAACTATAAATTTCAAGCTTCAGTCTACGTTTCCAGATATCTTAGGATACCAAGTGTCACGTATCAACATTTTATCCACCGGGTATAAGAATGTACATTGAATGTTCATTGGTTTATATATAGTTTATATGAGTAATAATAACATCGTTCAAGTAATTTAAAAATTCTGCTCCTTTTGTCTCTGTACGAATATTTATTACATTGAGTGTATTTTGTCATTTGTTTCCTTCGATGGCTTTCCTTGATTTCCTTTTCTATTTCTTATTGTAGAGGATTAATGTATTCTCTATATATTTCATTTGAGTTTTTACATAGCATCATATTATAACAGTTATTCTGTACAATGTTGTGTACATTTCTAAAGATGTCCATTAGAAATTGATAGAAACATAGATAATATATTACTCTGCAAATTGATGCCAGTTTTGTTTAGCGTTTGGATCGATGATTGTCCTATACAGCCAACGAACATCTAATGTACAATTTCATACTATATATCGTAACCAAAAACAAAGTAACATGAAATCAATACACTGATTTTAATAATCGAGTTTTTGAAAACTTATAAGCGATTACTTTATCGATTATTACACTGTCGTGCACTCGAACATTTATAATTAATTCCTTACAAATGAAAACATAAAACACATTATTAATTCTATAGAAAGAGTTCAAGAATTTAGCCAAAGGATAGTCCTCAAAATTTGCCATAAACAAAGTTAAAGTTAGGTAGGATAAAGAACAATTGGCATCAAAGTTTTTAAAAACCGTACAACTCATTTCCAATTTTCATTCGAATTAACGATTACTACGACTCTTACTGCTTCGTTATTCTCTGTTTGAAAACGCAGTAACTTTCTGTGGAACTAGATATAACGTCGGTCGAATGCACGGTACCCGTACATTTTCTATTCCGCGGGTTATTGTTTCCTATGCACAATATTTTCCTCTCGCTCTCCTTCTTGGCGAACATCTACCGAAAATGTTCGACGGCAAGCCTCGAGCCTCGGTGTTTTCGGAATAAACTGGATATCAAAAAGTAGGAGCGCCTTAAACGGCGCTGCGATAGATGCGCTACAAAAGCTGAGCTATGACCGGATGCAGAAGACACATGTGCTCGGCACCGCGTATCGGCAGACGGTTCACGCTGAAGTGGCGAACCATTTCTGGGATACTCTCGAACGGTTTGCTGAACTGGCCCAAAATGTACGCGTTCAGGTCCTCGTTCTTCTGGATCCGCATGTGCATGAAGCCCCGAGCACTTCTGGAAATTCGTAAGAAAGATTTCTTTAGTGCAATGGATTTAGAGTCGAACCTTTGTCCAGCAAACTTATTATGCAAAATAAAATTACGTGAGCGCAATTTAAAATAGAAAAATTCTGCAATCTTTTTCCATCAAATGGCACAAAAGAGATCATCCAAATAATCTTGACCCTCTGCATAGTATTTATTCATCAAATTTTATTGTTAATTTAAGAAGAAGTTTCATTCCGTCGAAAGCTCTTTTATATCGGCATTATTGTTTCGTTTCCATTTCTTTTATATTGTACTATGAAAGGAAGACAGCTTTGAACTTTTTGTCAATATTTCGCAGTGTACACTGAAGTATACAGTAAAGTATAACTCATTGCCAGAAAAGAGCTGTAACATTTTTCAACTGCTTCAAATTCTAAGGAATAGGATATCCTGATTTCGTATTCATCGTCAAAAGACATTTTTCAGACAGTTTCGTCGAAAAAAGATATGGCGGATTGCCAAGCGAAAAGTATCAAGGTTGTGTATATACGAATAACTTACTTCAGCGACAAAGAATAATCTTGTTTGGTCGATTCGCTGTTCCTCACCAAATAACTTCCTTCCCTGAGAAGTCGGAGGACAGCTTCTGCCTCGATTCTTGTGATGGATCCGTGATACCACCTGTAGGTCAAACGAAGAAAGTTCAATTTAGTTTTAACGACAGGATAACGATAAAAAAGAAACATGAAAATTTTTCTTTAGGTAATAAAAAACATCTGATGAATGCCAGGATAAGCAAAAAGGGGAAGTTTGAGACGACTGTATGAAATGGAAGATGAATCTTAATTGTACAATGAAAGATAGAATAAGAATGAAATATTAAGGTATCACTGAATTATTGCGAGTACATTTACGTTTAACTCGAAATGAAATTAATTTTTCAATGGTTTGTAGCATTTAAAAAAATATGTCAGGGAATTTTGAAACAAGAGGAATGTATCCAATGGAAGAAGAATCTTAATTGTACAATGAAAGATAGAATAAGAATGAAATATTAAGGTATCACTGAATTATTGTGAGTACATTTACGTTTAACTTGAAACGAAATTAATTTTTGAATGGTTTGTAGCATCTAAAAAAATATGTCGATCAAGTTCAGATATTTGACAACTTAGATACTATTGTAATTAGCAACCCAATACTGGAAGTGATAATAATAAAAAAAAAAATCCTGTCGCCGCGTATAGTTCCAGAGCAGACGACAGAATGTTTCGCAAGCTATTAAAATCGAAGGACGTACCCTTGTCTCTCGAGAGGAAGGTCCACGTCAACGAGATCGGCGGATCCGCGGGCTGTGTTAATCTCCAGTGGCAATCCAAGGCTCAGACCTCCAGGTTTTTTCGGTGCCAGCTGACCGGGGTTTCCGATGCTGTTCGTCCCGTTACCAGCGTCCAGATTCAGTGTCATCTTCGGACGCGCCAGACCGCCGCCTGAAATGAGTCATGCGACAGTTAGACGCCGCGAAATTCCCCTGGGGTAAACATCGATTATACGTATACACGTAGACGCCAGGAGGAACGTCCCGACGCAGACTTTATGGCGTAATTGGAACAAATCGGAACTCGGCCCCGCTAAGATTCACGGCGACAGGAAGTGAATTTCTGCCGATACGTCACCGCGCTTTTTATTTGCGCGAGATATGGGCAACCGTTGCTGGAAATTAAACGTTCAAGGAGACTTGGCAGACGATTTGCTGTGAAATTAGTCTTCTTTGGAAATTAATTTCGAGGAAATGAATGTTAAGATCGAGATTTTGCTTGTGTACAATGTTTGTATGTATTTTAAACACTCTAGACAAATTTTGGTTAGTTTTCTACGTATCTGTTAAACACGGCGTCCTGTAAGAGTTACAGCTGAACCGACGTAATACTATTTACGTCTTTCCCTAGATTAATGCTGTCAGACGTTTGACGAAGCACCGGGGACGTATTTTGTAAGCTAACGTAGGGGTTCTCTGACATAGTACTGCATCATTTTATGAGCTTACTTTGGCTGAAAGATGCGAAGATGGAGGAGAGATGAAACTAGCTTAGGCTAAGTACATTCTCTGTTTGGTCGAGGAATATACGTACAGACTGTTCTTGAAATAATCAATTAAACGTTAAATCGGTGTACTAATAACTAGACTGCGGATATTTAAGCACATTTTCACAGACATAGGAAAAGAATTGAAACTTAAGTCTAAGTATGTTTTATCTTCTAAACGATGCAGGACTTATATTATTCTTGATATTTTACATATTTTTGCTACTGTGCACATTATTATTGATTTTTACATATTTCCATTCATCCGCAGTCTACTAATAACATTATGTATGCCAAACGAATGTCCATAAATGTTTTCTTTCCTAATTACATAATCTTCTATAGGTTGCGAGTAAAAAAGAGTATTTGAGATGACTTTATCGAACATGTTTTATAATTACTACTTTTTTTAACTAATGCTTCCATTCTTAACATTGCTTAATATTTATTACAGTATGAAGCGACATCAAAGAATAGTTATTTACATGCATGCAGCCTGTCAGCATTTGTAACTTGCCAAAGAAGAATTAAAAAAAAAAATATATACATGTCGAATTGAGTAACCTTCTCCTTTTCGAAGTCGGTTAAAAATAGAAAATGCTTATTGAAACTGGGTAAATCGATAAGGTACTCGTTAAAATTTAATCCAACAGGGAATTTTGTTTATCGATGTACAACCCTCGACGCAAAGACGATCCGACTATCCGATCTCGGGCTAATTGTGTCAGCAATAATCGTGATCTCAAAGCAAGAACTCGCTAATGCCCGACGAAGAATATTTCCTTCATCGAGAAACAATCGACCGTGACTTTGAACGTGGCTTTGTCAAGGTATGATAATGGAACGTCTCGTACTCGTCAATGGATAGGTCTGAGTGCTTTCACTTAGCAGAAACAATACAATCGAAATTCCTTCCACGGATTTTTTTCCCTGTCCCCGTACCCCGCGGCCCAACAGGAAGTTCTATCGACTCCTGGAAGTTTTCACCCTGCCGCCACTTAAGATTCGTGCGGAAATTACGAGCATTGTCTCCTCGTACACAATGTGGCTCTAGGAACAAGAGACAACAAGCTACGCCTATCTTGCTCGTTACGAGCGAATGAAAGAGGAATCCCGGCTCGAGTCGCGCAGTATTGCGCTTATTAAAGATGACATTACTCTCCAGAAGAGGGAGGGAGGGAGAGAGAGAGGGAGAGAGAGAGAGAGAGAGAGAGAGAGAGAGAGAGAAAGTAATGACTTTTGTAAAATTATACGTCCAAAATGGATCAGAATTCGAGCCAGTGAGACATAAATAACTTGGTAAAGGAAAAATAAAATATAATTGATATGCTAGCTGCAAATTATTTTAGCAAAAGAAAATATTTGTAATGCAAATATATAGGTATTATTAAATTTTAACACGTGTAGATTTAAAAGAAAATTGAACCAACTTGATCAAATGATAATTGTTTCTACTACATGTACCTACCACATGTGTTAAACATATTATTTTTACAAAGACTATTTTACAAATTAGAACGTTGAATTTTAAATTCCTTACGTGAAACAGTAAACGATAATCGTCCATCGTAGTGAACTAATTCAATATCGTCTATGGCGATGGTGAATCTTATTTTCCGTGTAACAGGAACTTTCTTCCCAGCTCTCGTGTATTAAAAATTTAGAAATTTCGCTAAGTAAATACTTCAAGGTTCCCATCAAGCGCGAGTTTCGATATTATTACGCCCCCGTGGAAGTTGGGAGACGATAATCGTCGGAAGGGTCTGCCGTTGAAGGAAGTGCCTCTGCGGCCGCGAAGGTAATTTCATTTGTTGGGCGCAATCTCTTAGCGGCCGACTTTTGGAAGGTCGCATGATCCAGGTACGACGAAATTGCTCTGACAGGTGTAACACTGCGTTAGCTTTCTTCGAGGCTAACACGTTCAGAGCGCCCCGCGTGGCCGCTGGAAAGGATGGTATCCACTTTATACATTATGTATGAGCATGTACTTCGGGGCTTAAGATCATTTAGTTTCTTCAAGCCTGACGCAATGAATGTTTCGGGAGAAACGCTCGTTTTTATAGAATCCTTCTAGCGGCACTTGACGACCCTTTCAGACGTAAATATAAAACTTCACTGGAGACGAATACTGTAATGTATTATAGAACAATATGAGATCGAAATTCGTTAAAATAATGAATTATAATAATGTTATATCGCAAGTGGATGTGATTATTTAAATTTCATGAGATCAAAAATCATACTAACGAGAAATATATATTATACATATAATAAATTTAAATATGATTCATACAATCCATTATAAAATATTGAAAATACAATTCATACAACTAACTCTAGAATAAATGTTTAAATATCGTTAATAGAATTTATTAAAAAATAAATTAAAAAATATATTTTCTGAAGAAGTTATTTATGTCTCATTGGTATCAAGGAAATTGTATACCTTTGTGTAACATACATAATAATAAGGAACGCTTTAAAGCATTAATTGCCAACCTGTTTGCTCCAAGTTACAGAAAATTTGTAGCCTCGACAACCAAGAGCAACAAACTTCGGTTGAATAATTCATCTCGCTGGTTGGCGAACGATCGCCAGGGATACTCCCTGCAGGAACATGGACGATATAAAGAAAAGAAAGAAACTCTCGAAAGACCGTATCCACGCTCTCTTCCGGTTCATCTGACACGGCATGCGTTTCAAGCATAGTTAAACATTAACGGCGAGCAGGCAACCACCCACTACTCTCCGAGATTGGCCGGTATCTGTATTATTAAATTTAATCCGGCTATCCGACTGGCTCGATTTATCTGTCCGAATTTCTCGTTCGCCCTCTTCGTGGCCAAGAAAGTTTCCTTCCCCACCCACCCCCTCATACACTGACGTTGTTACGGAGTAAAACGGATACAGTGAAACTCCGTTTCCGTTTCACTAACTAAAACACTTCGTTTAGGCGCATTACGAGATCTGAACGATATTAGCATTGGTCCAGATGAATTATTCTCCCTGTATTCGTAATTTAATCTCGCAGTATTCGATACGAAAGCGTGTGAATCTATTTTTCTTTTTTTTTGCAAAAAGAGCGTTTCTGCAAGCAGTGTTTAAAAATTAAAAATTGAATTTTTTTTAATCAAGGTTCATTGTTAACGAGGGAATATTTTTTCGTGAATGCATCCATCCTTCTACTTCAAATTCCATATGAACAATATAAATTGTTCGTATTGTCACACATTTAAAATTTGATTCCCATGAAAGTTGAAAAGTATGTAGATGAGAATTGTACAGTGATTTGAAAATAAGTGGTATGGAAATAAACTTATATTATTTCAATGATATGCAATGAAGAAAAGAAATAAAGCTAAATTATAAAAAAATATATTTCACCATATCAGTTAATCTAGAAGAATTTACAATGACGCGTAAGTAAGATCGTGAGTAAGACGATTTGGCAGGACACTGCTACCGGAAATAAAACACCTGGCAACGCAAGTATCGATACAACGTTCGACACAAAGGGACATTTCCACATTCGAGGAATTCCCATCCTGTCGTCTCCGAGAAGAACTTCCATACGGCGGTAACGTCGTCTGGGATGGCGACGGGAAAGAGACAAGATAGTCCAGCCACAGAAACTTAGGCAAACCCCACCAGGGAAGTCTCAGGGGAAATTCCTCGTCACGCAACAGCTACCGGAAATCTTCCTGGTTCTCGATGGAGATGCTCTACAGAGTTTTTCAAAATAACACCGATAAATTGATAGGGTGGAAGAAGACGTCAAGGGGATTATTTTTGGTAAATAAACTCTGGGCCAGGAAACCCTTGTCGTAGTACTACGTAGTGTTTAGTTTGACTGCTGGTGCACTCGCTAACGTCAATATCTTCGAAGAATTTCGCACAATGGGAGCTTGCTAGTGCAAATACACGAAGACCAAGTGTCCTCAGGCTATAAGGCGAGGTGTCACCTTGTTTAGGAATGCATTTAGCAACAAAAAATAATTAAAAAATTGTTACTATAGAAAATTCTATTACTTCAGAAATGTTGATATCCATTCTGGTGTCCAACAAGAGTCTCACCTATGTATATCTTCGAAGAATTTTGCATAATAGAAGCTTGCTAGCGTAAATACACGAAGACCAAGTGTCCTCGGGCTATAAGGCGAGGTGTCACCTTGTTTAGGAATGCATTTAGCAACAAACAATAATTAAAAAATTATTCCTATAGAAAATTCCATTACTTCAGAAATATCCATTCTTTATATCCATTCTGGTGTCCCACAAGAGTCTCATCTATGTATATCTTCGAAAAATTTTGCATAATGGAAGGTTGCTAGTATACATATAATGCGAGCTTTCACCTTGATTAGCAATGCATTTAACATAAAAAAATAATTACAAAATTATTCCT